CTAGTAGCTAAGTAGAAAAATCCTCGTAGTGCTCCTTTAACTCCTTTGATTCCTCGTACCTATACCTCGGGATAGAACTTTGCGATTGGCACACCCTTTTATTAGGACTAAAGTTATCTATAAAATTTATGAAGCAGATTCACCACTCCAAATTGCAGCATTTTGAATTTGCAGCCCTGAGAGAGCTTCACGGGAGGGTATAGTTGTCAATTTACCCCTTTTAAATGAAGCTGTGCGTTTTACATAGCTCCTGGAATTTGGAATGGCCGAATGGGCCAGTCTTGGATGACAAGCGCTGGGCCCGAACTCCAACGTCCGATGCAGCTGGAACTTAGAATGGCCGACTGGGCCAGTCTTGCTGGCCAGTGCTGGGCCCAAACTCCATTTATATGTTTACTGTGGCCCCATCTCCACATATGTATTATTTCATTTATATTGTTTTCATATTGTTGTTTTTCTATCATGTGAGTAAGAGTTTGCATGTAATACATATTATTTGTAAAAATATATTAATGAAACAAAAAAAACCCAACCCAATTTACTCTATGGTGACCAGTTGGTCTTCCTCAGGTTGCATTTGATTTAGGTACGCTGACAAATTGCACAATGAATAAAGGAAATATACCATGCACCTCGAAGTAGAGAATTGTAAGCTTCAAAATTGTTAATAACGACTTTCGTATTTTTCCAAGGTTTAATTGTTAATACATGGCCTCCCCATGCTCATTTGTTAGTGTTCCAGCATCGAAAGATAAACTAACTGGATCGAAGGATATTGATTCTGTAATATCGACAGAAATTTCAAACCATGACCTCAATCCATTAGGTTATCGAGCTATAACGGTATTTATGTTGCATTTTCCAAAGCAGTTTTGTGAGCAAACAACTATTGATGATAATGGGTTTGTCCAATATTTGACGTCGTGACAATGGAATATCTTTCGAAGTTAACTCTGTGTCATTAGACAATCATTTTGTCATTCTATACAATCGCTTTTTATTATTGTGGTTCGATGCACAAATTACACTACATTGAATAATCGTTTTTTCTTTCGAAGTTAATCCTGCTTCCGGATACTCCAAAACCCTAATTTATTCGATCAAGAATTTTAGAGATTGTTGGCCCAGAAGGCTAGAACTTAGTTATAAGCTAGAAAATCGATGAATTAAGCTATATAGGAAGGTTACCTACCTTTTACGAGTAAGTTTGATCGCTAAAACCGAAGAACCAACCTAAGTGATTTTTCTCCGGAGACCCCTGTTGAAGCGCTCTGTTCTGGTGCTTACGGAAATGGTAATGGAAATGGAGAGATTGGTGGATTGATGATAAAAAAATTTATGAAGCATATTCACCACTCCAAATTGCAGCATTTCAAAAATGTTGGCTCCTGAGAGCTTCACGGAAGGGTACTTAAGACAATTCCACCCCATTTGAATGTTGCTCTGCGTTTTAGTACGTGTACCGCTGGCCTTCCATAACCATTCATAGAGCCGGGTATCCTCTCAACAATTTGGGCCCAAATTGGGCTTTCCTTTGTGCTGAAAGACTCCAATTGTGCTATGGACTATGGGTATAGTCTCCATTGGTATCAGTTTCTTCATTCTTCTTCGTGAAGTGAACAATCCCATATGCTCTATTGGCGGACTCCTACTCTCAATTGTGTTCAGCCCTGGGTTAACCTAATTCACCAGATTGGGGTCAAGCTCTTGCTCTGGAGTAGCAAGCCGCGAATTTATGGCAGTGCACAAATAATTCACAAATTTTAATTCTATAGAGCGCTTAAAACCTCGAATCCTTTGATATCTGCCAACGGAATAGAGCTGTTGTTTCTTTTCTCCTCTTATGGTGTTGTTGCTGGTTGTAGTCGTTAAGAGACGGTGAACAGAGGCTTTGGAGAGGGAAGATATTCAGATGTTGAAAATTGATGAAACGGCGGGGTTGGAAGCAAAGCAAGTAGAAGAAGCTTTGTAGGATTTCTTTTTTTATTTTTTTGGTGAAAATTTGACGATACCGAGAAAATAAGATAGGCATTTCGTATGGATGAGAGATGTGTGGATTGTGATGGCTTTGTAGTTTGCGTAGGAACTAGAGGAAGAGGAGAGTTAATAGTTTATTATTTTATAGAATAAAATTATTTATCTATCACTTTTTGTTTATTGTAATTTGTCAAAGGATCGTTTATAGTCTCAAACAAGTGACTTCTATATTCTAAGGTATTTATCTGTCAAGTTAACTGGGGTAAATGTATTTGGTAAAGTTAAAGGTTTTTCTTTAGTTGAAGATTTTAAATGATTAACCTTATCTTTATATACCGTTTTGTATAAATGAACTGAAGCCAATAAAAGAACATGATATCAGCAAGTGAGATAGGGGGGCACAAAAATTTATATGTGCATTTATCCGCAATAATCAATTTAATGGTTGTATTTCGAATACTTAGATTTACGCTAAATTGCTTTATTTGGTAATTTCTTTCTTATTCTTATTAGTCATGGTTGCATCTCTGTTTCAGATAAACCATGAATGAAACACCTTTACAACTCTCTAGATATTGTGAAGTTGATTTTTTTATTATCTAAGAACCTGTATTATTTTATTCATAATATATGTCAAAAATTGTTTGGTTGCATACTTGCATTCAAAGAAGCATTGAGTTTTTAAAGCTGAATGCATCTTCAAATTTAGTAGGTATTGATTGCCATAATTGTTTGGTTGTGTTCCATGAAGTACCGATTTTTTAATGCAGTCGGCATCTTCAAATTTAGTTGATTAGTGGTTTGCGATTGTTATTAACGGGTCCTTCATTTCTTTCCTCTTCCTATGCCTACAACAGTACAACCGTGTTGGTTAGGTTCTATGGTTCAGAATCAATCTAGGATTGGCCCTCATCTCTGTAACAATTGGTAGTCATGTTTGGCTCTCAAGAGGTCAATGTACTTTCACAACTGGCAGAATTTGTTAATTTTTTTACACTTACGTTTATGTTTATCATTTTTCCAATGCTTAACAGGTTTATGCGATTGTTTTTTCTTCCCCGGGGTTGGTGAGAGCCCTTTTCAACTAAAGCACCTTCTAAACACCAAATTTTTTTTTGAAAGGGACCACCTTAATCAAAGATGATTAACTCCTCTGTCTGACCTTTCCATGCATGCACTTTAAAATAAGAAATTTCTATATCATATTATAAAATATATATTTAGTCATTGTTGTCACATATTTGGTCACTGAAGTTCATTATATACAACCAAATCATTTTAATTTGAATTATCCTTTGTTGCACCCTTGCTAAATTTTGTAGTGTGTACATATATATAGATTTAACTTAAATAACTTTGTTATATGTCACTGCTTATGCCAGACTAAGGGAATGAAAAAAACATTATTAAAAAGAACTTTTATGAAGTTGCCAAACAATGTGCCAATATTTGTTCAATTGTAGACCTAACTGGCTAACTTCACTTCGACTTTCTCATTCAACCATGGTAGCATGTTTGCAAATCTTCATTCGTTGCATAGACCTATCTTCAATGTAATATTATATACATACATTTTCATTATTTTTATTTATTCATCAACAATATATATTTATTGCAGGGAGATTACTATATTGTTGCTGGCCATATATACATCTTAGAGTCATTTGGTCACCCATACACAATACATTGTCCCACTGAATATTAGTGACAACTTCCCATCATGTCATATATATTTAAAATTTTGCAACTTCATATCCATTACTCGCATTGTTATCAACAATGATGCTCTCTACTCGGAAAATCACTTCAATTAACATATTGAATTCTACTAGAGACGAGTAATTTTCTTTTATTCTTAAGTGCAACTACGTAGGTATTATGGAAATCACCTCTAATATTCAATTATATGATATACTTAAATATTGAAAGACAATTTTATATATATATATATGGGGAGTTCTACAGTACCCCGGGTGAAATCCGGGGTACCGCATACCTTGAGTAAGAAAACGCTATCCAGAACTTGAATGGACTGCTCTTTCAGACATGATACTATACTCTAACCCGTAAAGATCAAAATCTAGGTCTTAATTCTCTAAATATTATACCCCGAGATCAATTTAATTAGAAACAGTAATCGACGGTTATGATTCGCCCAAATATAGGCAAAAAAATCAATGCACCATCTTAGGGTTTATAGTTTTGATTTAGATAATTATGACCTAGGGTTCACTCATTAAGGATTAGGGTATATTATCATGCCCAAAAATCCTGCTAATTCGAGGTCTAAATAGTGTTTTCATACTCAAGGTATGCGGTACCCCGGATTTCACCCGGGGTACTGTAGAAGGCACAATATATATTCATATTTTCATTGAATAATTATATTTATTTCTTAAATCATATTTCACCTTTTTTATTATATTCTAATCACATTATGCATTCCCGAACATCTATCATATCCACCATTATATATAATTATATATTATATGCTCTCCCGACCAAAGGTCGGGCCCTGTGCTAGTTTATCTTAATACGAATAGAGTAGACTGGAGATTCTATAGACACTTAAAAGGAGACCCTTGACTCATTTTCCTTTCCTTTCTGTAGACACCACATTTTGTCCGGAACATTCATGTTAGTTATATATATATATATATAAACAACTAATTGTAGCATCACAATGATATTTGGGAAGGAAGTTTGAAATAATTTGGTTAAGACTAGCAGTGGCAAGTCAATATGAACCAATGATTACCATTTTCCGCTCATATACAATCCAAGAATCAATTCGAATGGACACGAGGATAAGTACTATTTTGAAGCTTAATACGCTTTAGGTTTGGGTTTGCATTTGAGCATTGGTTTACAATGCATAGAAGAAAAGAACAAATCAATAAATACAAAAAAAACATACTTCGCCATTTTATTTCTTCCATGATACATTTGATCGAGAATTACATAGATAACAAAGGAAAGAATAGTAATTAAATAGACCGTCACAAATTATACATATATGCAATTAAAAGACGACTCCTTTATAAACCGTGGACCTGCAATAGAAAAGAAGAACTAGTCAGTTCTCAAACCCATACACCAGGTCCACAATTTAAGCCCAAACCAAAGTATTTCAAGTCCAAGAAGTATAAAGCCAGTTTCTTTTCAAGCCCAAACACAAATCAGATCGGACCCAAATCGGCCCAAACCCGACAGGCCCAACTCGGCCAACTGGTTCGATCCAGAGACCAGCCCAACAATCCGACCCAGACCAATTTGGTCTAACCAAATCCTATCTACAACCGACCAGGCACACTCTTCAAAGTCATATTAAAAAATTGGACGAATCAAATAGTGACAAGTGGCGGTTTGGTTTGCTATAAATGAGCTCTTGGGGCTCTTTGTTGAGGGAGGACGGATTGGAGAAGAAAAACACAGAAAAAAATTACTGGATAAGGAGGGATTGATACACGAATTTTTCTTTGCTTTGGGAGAAGGGGAGATTACAGAAGCAAGGGACTATACTCGAGCAAGAACTGCACCAGGTTAGTGACTACTAGTCTTTACTTAATGGAATTTGCTTCATACTTGGATTCCTTTCTTTCCAATTACATCTTTAGTGTCAAGTTGTTGTACTAGCTGATCTGTTTACTCATTTTCATTCAAGCGGTTTATGTTCGAAAGCTTGTTATCGTTGCTTTCCATCTACTAGTATCGATTATAGTCACTACATATTCAGATCATGCTTAAATTTATTTAAGCGCTTTCTATCTATGGTGGTTATTTTAGTGGTTAATCGCTTTTCCTCTAGAACTACCATTTGTACCATGTATCTCCCTTTATTTACAAAGAAACATAACTGATACCAAACTCTATAAATGCATACCAATTCCAAATCCATCGTACCATAACCAAAAACGCATAGAAAGTCCATACCCATCATACCAAAACCAAACCCAAATAGTAGAACACCACCAAAACCGACAGGTTCATTGAAATAACCTAAAGCCTTTTTTTTTATTTTTGAATCGTATAGTTTATTTTGGGTTCAGATCCAACAAAAACCACAAATCAACCACCAATCGTAGTTCAATAAGAATCGCAAATAGTGGCGGCGATTCATAGAGGCTAAAAGTAGACATCTATATTTTCATTTCTCAAATATCCATTTTACTACTTAGATTAGGTGGAAGCCAATCCATGAATTTTAAGCTTTAAACCAAAACGCAATGAAAATCATACATATCATCACAAGCTCAATCTAATTTAACCTTATTTTCTATCAAAAACTCAGAATCTAATTTTGTTTTGAAACCCGTTAGATCAGAAACTTCATGATAATCATATAGATTCATACCTTCCACCTTTTACCCTCCAGCCATTACCATACTAAGTCAAGTTCGTAAAAATCACTTAAGAAACATTCCAACTCATACATAACCAGTTTTATTGGGAATCAGACCCGATAGTTATGTTAAAAATCTCATAAGTCCATTTAATTTCAGTTCAAACTCTCTAATCACACTAAGCTGAGTTTCGGAGACCCTTACCCAGATCCGGCCTTTTCCTCAAATCTGCAAAAATAAGTTAGAGAAGGATCAGATCTGTCCCAGATCGAAATAAACAAAAAAAAGATTACAAAATACTCAACAGTCGTCGCCAAAGATCCCTGCCGACGACGATTCTTCCTCCCCCCTAACCCCGCTGCTCCCTTCTCCTCCTCGTCCAAATCTAAAACCCAAAAATAAAAATCAAGATTAAAATCACGTCTTGTGTGGAAAAATTAGATCTAAGTTTGCCTGTTTAAGAGAAGCTTACCAAAGAGTAAACCGAGAGCAGGAGGAGGTAGATCGAGAAAACCCCCCTTCGGTTTGGGACAATTTCACCGGAAATGAAAATGAAAATGAAAGGAGTTAGGAAAATCCTAATAAAATCACCTAAAACGAATCAAAAAGACCATGCATGTCTCACTCTACCTGAATCGAAGCCCTCTCGGTTGGATTAGTACGAAACGAGCGGACTCCTTAGCTAGTCGAGAGCAGAGAACAGAGTAGAGAATCGAGAGGGGGAGAGGGTGATTATTCTTCGTTTTTTTGTGGTTTTCGGTTTACTCCAGAGGAAATGAGAAGAGAGGTGGATTAGGGTTCGTTTGTTTTTTTTTTCTTCTCTGGAAGAGGATCGAGAGGCAGAGAGTAAGAGAGAGAACGAGAGGAAGAAAGGAGGAGGCGGCCACTTTTTTTTTTTTTTGGTAAGGCCGAATTAGGGTTTCCTTAAGGTGAATTTATACCCACCTGAAAAAGTCCAAAATGCCCCTAGGGTTTATTGTTAATTACGCGGCGTGCCACCGTCTTTTTGAGAACTTACCAAATTGCCCTTCCCCCTTCTCTGCTCTAAAACGAGATAAACAAAAATTTGTAGATAGCGCGTTTCGAACCCATGTTCTCTCGGTCAAACGCGAATTTGGTCTGGCGTTTTAGCCAGTTAGACTGCTGGCTCTCATGCGTTAATATTATAAACCCGTATAATCTTATTTATTTAAAATCCTTAATACGAAATGTAGAATTGCGGATTAAGTATATCTCGTTTCTTTTCTAGTACATCTAAACTCCTCTTAATGATTGAAATTATTACATTATCTTTTTATAATTTCATAATACCAACCTAAATTTTACTAACAATAAATTTTGATACGAGAACCACAATCAGTGGAATGTGGTAATAGTTTTACTTAAAATTTTCAAAGTCCCAACGAACTACGTGGACTTTGATCCCGTCTAACGGGTACGTAGGCAACCGATAAGGTTCGAGTCCAACTAATTAATTAACTTTATATTTTAATTTTACGTCGATGGGCGTATAATTAAATTACAACTAATACGATTTAATTTCTTTAGTAGTCAAGTAAGGCCCTAAAAAATACCTAAACTACCTAGTGATAAATTAATACGTCAATAGACGTTTAGCTAAATTATACCCAATGAATAGCAATATAGTAATGGTCCAGTGGGGCCCTAAAATTACTAAATTATTACTTAATATACACCCAACTAATATGAAACTTATCGACTTAAGTAGTACCCATTTAGGGCGTTGTGGGGTGTGATTTCACTTCCCCACACGTAACCGTACTCCCGAACCCATATCTCTTAACCGCAGACCATATCTCGGTTCTGGCCCTAAGGTTAGAGCCGACCGAAGAGTGTTCGATCCACTCCTAGTAAGATCGATGGCGACTCCCAAAAATGCCGATGCGACGACATTCGGACCCCCCCGGAGGGACGGTTGCGACACTTTCAAACAAAACCTTTCAAAACTGAGACCGTCATTTCAGTATTCCTTGGAAACCAAGGAACAGAGGAAGACCGGCTCTGATACCAAAATGAAACACCCTAACCCGGCCGGGTACTACTTTTACTAAAATGCCCTAGATAACTAAAATACCCAAATCTTAAATTGCAGCGGGAAAAAATTTCATAAATAAAATACTGAAAACACACACTTGTAGTTCAAAGCAAAGCCCTAACACGTGGGCAAATTAAACTCAAACTTTAAAATCTCAATCTGATCTCCTGTCTATACTCATAATCATAAAATGCAAATAACTAGGTAGTCTCTGTCATTGCTGCTACTGAAAATCTTAACTAGGCATCCTCCATGACGCTTGCCCTGCCCTCCTCTAGCTGGCTGCCCTCGAACTTCTCCTCTAGCTAGCTGTTACCGATCTGGTTCTCGCTCATTCCCTTACTATGGCCTGGTGAGTGAGTTGGGGTCAGTCTACGCCCTTACGTTTAAAATTTCTACTGCTTAGTACTTTACTTAAAACACTTACTTAAATTTGTTGAAGTTGTTTGTACTTCCACTCTTAAAACTCCTAACTCTTAAAACTGCATGGGAGTTACTGTTACTCTCCATTCTTAAAGCTCAAATCTCGACTTAAATATTTGACTGACACGGGGATCCCTCACTAGCTAGTCCGGTTGCCAACTCATACGTATGAGAAGCCATCCAAGCTTTCCTTAAACTTAAACTTATCGTGGAATGCTCTTCTTCCACGATTCTCAAGAGCATAAGTGCTGCTCATATTATAAATCTCAAGAGCATAACTGTTGCTCAACTTAAATATCTCAAGAGCATAACTGCTGCTCTGTCTAAAAGATCTCCATAGCATAACTGTTGCTCTATCTGAAAATCTTAAATGACAATGGACTGGCGCTAGCGACTCAAAACACTTAAAACGATTTCACCTTCTTGAAGGTGAATTACTTCTTTAAAATAACTTGTTTCTTAAACTTTAACCATAACTCAAACATAAAGTTTTAAGGTAAATAGTACAAAATCACCTCAAATCACCTCAAATAGCACAAAATCACCTCAAATCATAGTTCAAGCAAAGCACAAATAAGCAATCATAATCATAACCAAGCAACGGTAACCAATTCGATAAAATATTCAAAATCATAATACTTAAAAGAATACGTAAGGCATAGAATTTACCCCTTTTACACTCACCTTACTTACGTCGGAACTGGCTCTGATTTTGCTCCAAAGTTGTCATACTCGCTTCCAAAATAATAGTAAATTCCTACTTGCTTGAATAAAAATGGAGCAACTTGCTTAACAAATGGACCAGCTTGCTTCGATGGGGATGGAAAGAACAACGAGACGAGGTAACTTGCTCGCTCTCAACCCAAGACGAGCTTGCTTAAGCAAGAAACTCTCGTAAAGGGGGAACCGTTCGCTTTTCCTTGATCAGCTCTCCATTGACGCCTCATGTCTGCTTCTCGCAATCGTCTGCGGCGGCTTCCCCTGCGATAATCCATGAGACGAGATCGTCCATAGCGGCTGTCCATGCTCCTCAATCAGCCCTCCATCTCATCCCTGATAACCATGAGACGAGATACTTAGGCAAGCATCTCTCGTAGTAGGGAGGGCTGCCCATCGCTTTCCAGCCAATGATCCCGCTCGGGCTTGCTCTCGTAGTAAAGGGGGGGAACCGTTCGTTGGTCCTTGATCAGCCCTCCATCAACGCCTCATGCATGCTTCTCGCCATCGTCCGCTGCGGCTTCCCCTGCGATAATCCATGACACGAGATCGTCCACAACGGGCCTGATAACCATGAGACGAGCTTGCGACTACCTATCGCTTTCCAGCCAATGATCTCGCTCGCCCCCGACGTCAGTGGCAGAACGTTCTGCCGCTTTCTCCCGCCGCCCTTCTATCATGCTCTGTGTTTGTCTGGGAAAGGCTGCACGAGGGGAAGGATAGCGAGACGGTTTAGGGTTTTTAACGATGCCGAGCTGTGGACTAGGGGGTCTGGGATTTAATTGTTGCAATTAGGCCAAGTGGTGAACTAAGGGGTCTAAGAGTAGGGTATTTTGGGAATTTTGCAATTACGGGTGAGTTTGGTCCGAAACTTTTCCATTTTTTGTCGAAACTCAACACTGGTTAACTCGAGAATTGACACTTTTAGTCCTCATCGTTATTACGATAGAATTTGACAAATTCCTCCAATGGTATAATAGTAATTTTAACTTAAGGGAAAGGGCGGGATGTAACAGGACGACCATCACCTCTTCTTTCATATCCTGCTTGCGGGACTCTTCCTCAATCCTTAGGCGAGTAATCAAGCTTTCTAGTGAAAATTCTTTGGTTTTATGTCTAAGCATATTCTTAAAATCTTTCCACGAAGGGGGCAGCTTATCAATAATGCAAGCAACTTGAAATTGATCGTCTAGAGGCATACCTTCGGAGACGATCTCATGAGCTATTTTCTGAACTTCGTGGGACTGAACTTCGATGGACTTGTCATCCACCATCTGGTAGCGCAGGTAACGGCTGACAGCATACTTCTTAGCTCTAGCCTCCTCCGTATCGTACTTCTTTTGGAGCGCATCCCAGATCATCATTGCGGTGTTATTGCTTCCGCATAGTAGTCATAGAGATCGTCTGCCAGGCCGTTGAGGATGTAGTTCTTGCACAGGAAGTCATGCTCCATTTCCTTAGCAGAAGCAACCCTCTCCTCATGGGTCGCTTCCTCCGGCAGCTCGACAAGCATGCTATTGAGGCAGTGTGCCAACTTCTTGGTCCTCAGGTAGAACTCCTTCTTTTGTCTCCAGTGACGGAAGTTGACTGCAACGAAGCAAAAGGGTCGATTGATATCGACAACACCAGATCCAGCCATGTTGTTTTGTTCAGTCGACTTAGCAGCAACCGAGCATCTTAAAATTGTTAGGAACGGAACAAAAACAAGAACGAGGTTACCGAATCTGGAGCTGAAACGCGGACTAGGTCGCTCTCTTTAAGAAGTTCGCGACATTGCCCTCGATGCGCACGGCAGACTATCAACCAGTCGTCTCCAGGATAAAACAGCTCCTCGAATGCTCGACGGTTTTGTGCGAAAACCGGAGCTCTCTGAAAACTCTCTCTATTGTGTTTATGCTCGTTGTGGTGTGTTTAGAGGGGCTGGGGAGGCGGCTATTTATAGGAGCAGAACCCCTAGGAATATACCCTCTAGCTTGGGGAATAAGTCGGATTAATTAAGGAAGATAATTACTTTTTTAATTAAAAATCGTTGGTTAAGAAAATCATGCGGGATTATCCTTCGAATATTCCTTTTTAATCGATTATCCTTAGAATATTCCCCAGAATAACCTATTAATAATTAATTATTAGATAATTAATTTCGTTCGGAATTTCTCCAAAAAAATATATAGTCTCAAGTGAACCAACCAACCGACCAGACGGACGGCGAGCGCGCGTGTGTTAGGTCCTCCCTCTCCCACAAAAGTGGGTCAACCCCAAGGGGCATGCCCTTAGGAGAGAGGCTCCTATCTTTATACACATTTCACCAAGTGAAACTACAAATGTGGTAGTTTTTCCAATTGAGACTCTATAGCTTTCAAAGCTATTCATTCATTTCCAATAGCTACTAGTGCATCTATAGCCCCTTTCAGTTTCAAGGCCAAAATAGCCCATGTGAGATGAAATGTCCAAGTTACAACTGCACATACTTTCTTCAATGCAAACCTTAGAAGCTAAACAAAACATGGACCTGAACTATATTAATGATCCCTAGATTCTTCACCTCTTACTTATAATCTAAAGTTTTGTCTACTTTTCTCAATTTCAAATTTACTGTAACAAAAGTAAAAATAGGAAGGGTAATTTAATCTTCACAATTGTTTATTTATTTCATATAAAAAATATATCAACACCAACATTTGAACCATGGTCTCTTCAAACAAATACAAAAACCATAACCAATTAACTAAAAAAGTTTCTTATATCCTTTTGAATACAAAACATACACGAACTTAAAATCTTAAAAGCATATGACTTTTTCATCATGGTTAGCTAGTTCACTAAGTCTCATGTAAGCATTTTTATGGTGCTTGATACTTTGATTTTAATTTTTTATTTTAAATGGATTTTAATAAGTAATCTAGAATTTTTTATAACTTATAAACGAAGGATATTCTAAATTACAACCCAAATATCATTGGTTGCTATATTGCATATCGAATTGCGATATTGAATATACATAGGATGTAAAATTCTTAAATTGATATTAATTGGTATAGATTTGATGTAAAAAATCTCATTTTCTCTTTCAGAAGTTTTAAAGATCAAGGACAACTTAAAAACACTAATACTGTAAATTTCAAGAAATACAAAGATGACAAATAATGAAACCAATAAAAACAAATACTTGAAAGGAAACTATAACTTTTTTTTACTAGCCGAGTAGTAAGCTTTAATATCAAATAATGCATTTTGAAGTAAATGTGATTAGTATTTTTTTTATGGGAATCAAAAAAATATCATTAAGCACCAGGTCACCCAAACGAGGGAGCCTCTCAAACATCTCTCCTTCCACACTTGTTCAAGAACCATCCTCCATAACAGTCTACCTGCTCGAGCAGAGTTTGATCCTCCCTGCCACATTCCTGACGCCCAAGCAATATGGGAGTCCCAATCAGCAAAACAAAGAATGGGCACAGAGAAAACAACGAGGACACAACAACCAGAAACTACTTTACCCCATATCAACAGCTTATCAGATGTGGTGACTCTATTGCAGACAATAAGCCAGGACAACACACTGTACTTAGGAATGGAGGGTTGTCCCCAAACCAGTTCAGCCCAGGGTACCTGTGGGAATGCCCCCCCTGATGCTTAACCACACCTGTTTAACAGAATAACGTGCCATGGGAATACCATCCCAAAGAAGAGAAGAACCAGAATCTGTTATAAAAAACCCTAGCAGCAGCTCTCATCTTCAAAATATGCTTCCAGGTCCATGAACCCACCGAGGTAGCAGATATATCCCAGATGGACTTGGACTTGAGGCGATACAGTTTGATCCATGCAATTCAGAGTGAACAACTACCTTCTAATATTTCCCACAAGTGTCGTATAACACATGCTTTATTACAGACTCTGAAATCCTTAATTCCCAACCCCCCTTCAGACTTCATTAGCACTGCAAAAGACCAGGCAGCTGGAGCTCTCTGCCTAGCACTCCCTTCACCCACCCCCCACAAGAACTTATTACAAATCCTCTCAATATCCTCCAAAACAGATGCTGGCAAAGTAAACACACTCATCCAAAACTGCAGAACGCTAGAGATAACCGATGAAATCAGCTGGATTCTACCTGCATAGCTTAGAGTTTTAGCGTGCCAACCTCTAATACGAGCCGTAATTCTGTCAACCAACCCTTGACAATCAACCCTGCCCAGTTTCCCTTAGATTAAAGAAACTCCCAGATATCGAACAGGAAGAGAGGCAAGTGGAACCCTGTACAGAATAGATTAGAACAACTGACTCTTCTCAGGATTGCATTTAACCCCTGAGCATATGTAAAACTCATCCAAAACCCTGCGAATACCAGCAACTGCCCTCACAGACCCATTAGAGAAGACAAGTAAATCGTCAGTGAAGTAAAGGTGAGTGATGACTCGATATTTGCACATGTTTTCCCCTTTGTTTCTTGATCGTTTAAGCTTGCATTATCGTTTCTTTGGCCTATTTTATGCTAGGTTGTGTTCCTTTATCACATTTCAGGTCCTAGCATGTAAATTGAAGCATAGGCAAAAGTTTGAAGTCAATCGGAGATCATTCGGCAATTCGGGAGAAGAAACACGAGCATGACCTGAGGAATAATCGACTTCTACCTCATATTATGGACAAATAATCATGAAATTTTATCACTAAAATAAAGAGGACGAGACTACGAGCGTCTGGGATCAAACGGCGACTGATTCGGAGTCGGACGAGGGAGAAACGAAGCATTAAACAGAGGCTGAGCAACCACACGGGCACGCCTAAAACCCCACACGGTCGTGTGACCTGGCCATGTGGCCGTGTGAAAATCACCGAGCCCTCACACGGGCATCTAGGAAAGTCACACGACCGTGTGGCCTGGCCGTGTGATCGGGAATTTCTGGTTAAACCCCGATTTTCAGCAAAAGGAAAGGAGTTCTTGATCTTTTCCGAGGAGAGAGACCACATTTTGAAGAAGGAAGGCGGGTTGAAGAAGCGAGTGGTGTCCAGGCTGAGGATGAAGTTGAGGTGGAAGAGGCTTGCACCGGCCCTATATTACAAGTAATATCCCCACCAAACTTCGAGGAACTGCTTAGCAAGGACCCATTTGCAGTGTCTCTTTGCCAGACCAAGGCCACATTGACATTGGTCCCTCTTGGTGGACGCGATGGTGGCCAATCGATGCTGTCATATCTAGTTTGGGGCAATGAGACGAGAGAAGAGAAGAAAAGGTCTCGAGGGTGGAGACGTTATCTGCATCAAGTGCATGAGCTTCCATCACCTGTCATACCACATGCTAGTGACTTGAGACTCCACCTCATCGACGAGAACCTCAACTTCAAGGAGGTTCTAGCATGGACCAAAATTTAAGAGCCATCGTCTGGCTCACGACGTGAAAGAAGCGCTTGTTGGGAGGCAACCCAACCAGTCGGTTTGCATTTCTTTCTTTTTTTCTCCTCGGTTGAGTAAGTTTTGTTATTTGATTTTAGAGTCAATAACTCAACCTTTGTGAGATTTTTTGTGGTGTTTGTGTTCCGACTACTCTCTCTTCCTGGAATGCACCGCCTGCCCCGTCCATCATCATTCACCCTTGATCTGGTAACTTCGTTCTACCCTCCTTATCTTTCCTCCATTGAGGACAATGTCGTGCTTAAGTGTGGGGGGATGTTCGATTATGTATGCTGGTGAATGTTTGGTTGTTTGTGTGCTTGGAGCCTAGTCCACTGTACAAATTTTATTTTAAATTTGAGGGCTCCAAGTACATGTTTCCTTGCAAATTGCCTGCTCAGTATGCTTTGAATTGACAGTCTCTATAGTAATGTGCAACCTAGGGAGGTAGTGTAGCACATGGAGGATGTTGAAGTATAAGATTTTTCCTATCTAGCTCTCTACTGTGTCAGTTGATTTTGTGAATTAGTGGGCTAAGACCGTTGAATTCATGCGGTAATGTGGACTCTGTTTGAATTGTGTTATGGACTCGTGTATTGAACAGGGTGCTCATGTGGCAAATGAAAAGCAGTTGGCAATCCATGTCAAAATCATTAAATCTTAAACATGGGGTAAGCCCAACGTGTGCGGCACCGTTCATTGCACAAAATCGGGTTTTGGAAGAGATTTTAGTGATCCTTAGTGGGGTACTCCTACAAGGTGAAGCTAAGTTGTCTCTAGTACAAGTAAAAATTCCACCCGTTGAACGGTTTGCCTACTTGAGGATGTGTTTTTAAGGGCGCGGATAGAGCTTCTGACCATCCTTAATTTCATTGACCCTCCACACGAGTTGAGGAAAAGGAGTTAAAAGAAGTACCCTGGCGAGCGCCAGGTGTACAAAAATTGCTCTTGCTCGACTAATAAGGGTCGACCGTGCAAAAGACTGCAGTTGGAACCCCCGCCAAGTGAATGAAGAAAAATAAAAAGAGAAAAAGAAATGTAAATGAAAGTGCAAAAAGGGGTTCCAACGGTGAAATGAAGTAAAAGAGCACCCCGTTACAACTAGTCCTTCGTTGTGAATGGTG